GTGCTACTTCAGTGTCGATGAGACCCCGATGACACAGCATGACAAAACTCAAATCAGTGCTGACTGTTCATACTGAACTCAGATTGACAAGAAGCTCCAGAAATGAAAATAAAGACCTCATAAAAAGCAGGGAAGTTCAACAGCCTGAGTTAGTTACGAGGCGACAATCATGTCTCAACCTTGCCGTTCTCTCCTCACGTCTCCCTACTGCAGCTTCATGGAAAGACACAGAAGACCTGCGAGTCTTTGGGCTGGATGTTTGTACAGTGCTGCACCTCCCACACTCAACTCCGAGCGGTTTCAAAGGAACAAGGAGCTGTCACGTTGAGTGTGGGTGGTTATGGAGCTGTCTCCAACTAAAGACTTCTGATTTATGCCTCAAAACAAAACAAAACTACACTGGCTCATGAGCAGACACGGTAAATTCCTGCTGTCGTTTCACTTCATTGGAAAAGATGTATAAGCGTAATAGGAGCAACACACCCATGTGACACTTCTCTGTGCGATACTACAGCTGCTGTAATACAACTTAGATGCATTAGATAATCAAGAAAATCTAAATCATAACAAGAGCTCACTCAATAAGAAGATGACTCTAATAAATGCCCATGTTTGTGTTTAGTACTAGCCAAACAACAAATAGCGTGTAATTGTAATTACATTTGTGTGCAGACGATGTTGCCTAGACTCATTTTGAGCAGATAAATGCAGTGTGATCTCACTACACGCAGCCCAATCTGCTTCTCCTCACATTGTTCTCTTGCCTGCAGTCAATGACACGTTTGCTTGAATTTACTAATGCAGCATTCTTCATCACAGCAATGCACAATTACTTTTGGCTGGGCAGCAGCCCAGGTGTATGCACAAGCTTGCATATTAATACTGCCACACTTACGCTGTGTTAGTGCTCAACACTGGGATGCAACAAAGTTCTTACCATGCTCCGCAGCTGCACAGTAATCCTACAATCACAATGACAATTATATGGTTGGAAACTCTGCAACCCAAACAGATAGAGCATTGCAAGAAAATGCTGGAGTATCCACTTCACTACTGACAAGAGTGGCATGATGGCATCACAGCCTACCTGCAGGAAGCACACTAATAACGGTTGAGGAATTGTGCACCCACGGCAAGGCAATTAAATATTTTCCAACAACTTTCTCATTGTGATTCACAGAACCATCCATCAACCAGCAGTAGTGATATTTAAACTCTGGGTTGCATATTAGCATAAAGACTCAAGGGATCATATAATACATTTTGAAAACAGAGACAAATACAATCTTCACACACCACAACGTTCATCATATATTACAGCACACTCGTTCAGTGCAGCACTAAAGCCTGGTGCAGGTCGCCATCTAGTGGTTGAGCATACTAGGCCAAAAGGAGACAGACTACATACATGTTTTTTGTGCAACTTTTACAAAACCTGCACCAAGAAACAAATAACTGAGCCTTCATCTATGTCAAATATGCATGTATTATTACATTTACTCTTTATAGCACCCCTAGGCCTTCATGTTTTTGAAAAGCACTATTCTACTAATTACAAATTATTTTATCTGCACAGGTAAAGACTGCAAGGTGTGCTGTGAACCTTGCAACCAACGCACAGGATGACCAGATCCCAACAACCTTAATGTGGGACAAAGGGGGCACATCAGCAGTGCTGAGATGTCGTTACATCATTTCAGCTGCTCTTCCGTCTGGTAATAGTTTTTAGGTTTTAGTTTGCATATATACATAGATATGTAGAAGACGCCAAGACATAGATTGACAAGCCTTCTTTTGAGCAATATCTGACTTTTATTTTTTGCATTTTAGATTTTATTTACTTGGCATATTGGTCAAGATAATACCTTTGGCCTCTCATCCAAGATTTGCTGGCGGATGTCCTTGTGTTTCTCCAGTAGCCTCTCCTGTCTTTTACTCTGGGCGTCTTCCAACTAGAAACACAAACACACACACACACACACACACAGTATAAGGTAATTATATCATAAAGTGAATTTGTCATAAAGTAGATGCAAATTTCAGGCAAATCTTCTCAAATTTGCAAAAAGAGCAGCATGTTTCAGTGCTCTAAGTGCTCTGTAACACCACAGCTCTATCGCTGCTCGCTTACCCGTTTGATATACTGCACCACCTCATTGACAAACGATCTGTTGATCTCTAGCTTCTCTCTGTGGGGAGGATTTATCATCAGTCAAACCAAGCAAGTAGTCAGAGTTGAACTAAATATTTAACATACGGTGACACCTAGTGGTCAAACAATTGAAACACCCGAGCCCAAATAGAAACAGCTTATTAATCCTAATATTTCCAAATACACACTTACTCTTCTGTCATATTCTTGTCTTTGGATTTGGCCTCATTGATTTTCTCTTGCCTTTTCTTGTCCATCTTCTTTTTAAGATCCTTCTTTTCTCTGTAGATGTTAGGACAATTAAAAAAACCAATGTTGTGATTTCTGTTTGTTTCAGTGAATAAGAGTGCGTGCTGTATCCATCCTTACTTCTCACAGATGTCTCTGAGCTTTTTCAGCTGAGCGCTCTGGCATTCCTCTGCTATACTGGTCAGCTTCTCAACCAACTGGGACGAGAACGAACAGAGAATACAAATCAGAAAAATGTGACAGAAAACATCAGCTTTTTAATTAATCGTTTATTTCATAAATAATATATCACTGAAGCGACTGTTGCTGTAGTTCTGATCATAATTAAACAACATTTAGATGTTGTAAACAACAATCTCCATTAAGCTTTTTTTTGTTTGTTTTAAATCCACGCTTGGACAAACTTTTCTGACACCTGCGCTCTGCTCACTGCGCAGGGGTATTGGAGCAGAATACATTCATTTTTTCATGCCACACAAGAGAGCTTGAGCACGGGCAGCAAAACAAAGACTGGAATATTCTACAGGGGGATGACCCAGCAGCATTCATGCTGTGGTTAGTCTGCACTTGCTTTTCTGAGCTTTAGGACAGCTGGAGATTGTCAGCACATTATCCAAAACAAATCAGTGCAAGCTCCTGTTTGTGTGTGGGATCTGTTTATCCCAGTTTTACATACAGAACATGCTTGTTTATATTACAGAGGTTTATGTGAGAACACAACAGCTGGCAATTATTTATCTGGGGAAAGTGCATAGGAGCACATGTCCATACGGGCACACAAGCTTAGTATGGAGTCAATTTTCAGAACTGGTGTGGTGCCTATAAATAGGCAGCTAACAGGCAGAGCACTTGCAGTCCAAATCTCTCTTTTGGCATTATAAAAACTACAAAATATGCAGCTTCAATTTTCTGACTAAAAAGCATGGAGAGGATTGTTTTTGTGGCTGATCCCTTTGCATTTGTATTTGTTGGACTTCCCATTAAGAGCGTTGTTTTCATTTATTTGCATTGCCAGGATGAGACGTTATCAGAACGTATGTCCCAAAGCTGTGAGTGGCGTGCCAAAAAGACTTTACTTTTACATCAGAATTCTTCTTCACTAATATGAATTAACGTCTTGTTTTTGCAGAAAAACAGAGCTACACTGTTTAGTTGGTAGGTTACTCAGCCTGTTATGCACTGATCTTGATAGATCACATTATTAAAGCTCACATGCAAAGCTCTCACCTGTGCATTCTGGATACTGCAGCATCAACCTAATTTGTATCACTTAGTACTTTAGCTCAAGCGGTCCCCAATCCCCGGGCCTCGGACCGGTACCGGTCCGTGAGTCGTTTGGTACCGGGCCGCGAGAGTTGAGGCTCAGGTGTGAAATGTATAGTTTTCAGGGTTTTCAGCGTTATTATTTATCGTTTTTATCGTTAACTCGGTTTTCCTGGGTCTTTTCACGTGTGTTATGAATAAATCTTCTTTTTTTCGGTACTGGTACTAGTTTTATTTTGTTGTATTTATCCGCAACACCTTAAAGGCCGGTCCGTGAAAATATTGTCGGGCATAAACCGGTCCGTGGCGCAAAAAATGTTGTAGACCGCTGATCTAGGTCCTCAATCTTCCATTCATCTATGTGCAGTGTGTATCTACTGATAATTATAAGATAATTTTGACTGGTATACGTGTGGAATTAACTGAACTAAAGCTTTGGATGTGCATTCAAATGGCATTTTAAAAGCAGTCCCAGAAAATAATAAAAGGGGGAATGATCAGGGATATCTTATAGAGAATAAAGTGGTGCGTGGTGTCCCTGTAAGAGCATGTGCCAAAAGAGTTTTAAAAGCCTGTACATTTGCACATCTGCAATTAGTGTTATTTATTCAATTCACAGTTCAAATATGTGAACGTGTATGACCTTCTCCTGCCCTCTCTTCACACATATTTTACTATATCTGGTCCATTCAAAGGATCCCTTAACGTTGATCAATGGCTCCTGAATTATTTCCTTTTCCTTCTGAGCTGAATTAGCAGCTCAAAGGGAAAGAAACCAAAGCTATGAGCCAGGAAAACTTCCTAAACAGTCATTTCCCTTGTAATTTTTCCATTCACATGTCCCTCTGGCAGTGCCAGTGATTCCATCTCAAAGTGTTACACACTGTGTCACCAGAGTATTAAATGATTACGGCTATCAGCCTGTGTGATTTACAGCCAAATGACTGCAACACGCAGCGACATCCGCTCTGGGATCAAATGAAAATTACACAGAACATAATTTTTGTTTTCATCTAAGTTTTATTCAGATCAAGTTGGCCTGAATAATGATGAGAAGTCATAAAGGGGATTATTGTCTTTATTTACAGACTTGGTTTATTTATCGAGTCCACATGTGTAGATTGAGAAGCTGTGCCATTCGAACAGACTGGAGAAGCAAGAAAGTTAGTAGTGATGTCCACATGTCCACCTTACATCACAGTATTGTTGCATGCTGCATATGCTTGACTCTTTCAAGTTTTCTGTGTGAAAAGTGAAGTTAAAGCACGCAGTATCAGACAGGTCTACACGAGGGTCTTCTTCACATCTGCACATAATTAATTGTTGGATTTGAGGAGAAGTACCTGCTTGATGTGTTCTCGTTTCTGGTATTTCTCGCTGTAGTATTGCTCCTGGCGAAGTGTGAGGAGCTGCTGTTGCTGCTGTTCCTTCAGTTCGGCCAGTCTCTGGCTGCACTCCTGCTCCAGGTCACACAGCTCTTGGTCCAGTGTGGACAGAGATTGTTCAGACCGACTGGACACATGCGTCCAAACACACAAACAAAACATGCACAAATTAAGATAGATACTTCAATCGCAGCAGAGTATCTTATGCAGTAACTGTTAGAATCAGAGCATTACTAATCTATAATGCTCACTTCTGACTCCTAAATTTATTTACATGACCTACTAGATTATCTTTGCATGATGTGGAAAATAATAAAAAATGATTATTTCTCCCGTACTAGGCCTTGGTGCAGCAGCTCAGTTCATCACCTGTCCGAAATGAGCTATTTTAGTTCTTTTCCTCCTATTCCCGCCAACCAACTTTGGTGTGGCCGTGTTTTGCAAACAGAGGGTTTAACAGCAGGTAGGCTTCTGCACTCACAAAGACTCGTCTCACATTTGGCAAAAGAAAATGTGAACGAAAATCAGGAGAGGAATAATGGGTTCACTTTAAATTTCTGACCACATGTCTGCTGCACATTAAAATATTCTTTTCATGCAGAGAACTTTCTCAGGAAGTGATGGTAAAAACTTTGATGTTAGGTGTTTGAAGTTATTTATAACACAAAGAAAGACCGGGCAGGTGGAGTCTGTGATATAGACACTTGTTCTGGACATGAACATGCAAGAAACTTGGAGGAAGTCTTATGCAACATTAAAATTCTATGAACAGCTCAGCAACTTAATACTAATGCTTTTAACTAGTACTGTATGCACTCCACTGTGGTGTGGCATATTGAGTTTGCATGTACTTTTTTACATAGTTTAACAGAATCATTATCACCTCATTAAATATGTAAAAAGCTTCTGTGGTAGTAAGATGTATGCACAACAGCATGTGTGGTTATTTTGTAAGTTTCAGTCGATTTCTGCGGTTTAGGACTTACATGAAAATTTTCAATACAATTCACAAAATAGCACTATTAAAATTAAAAAGTGGAATATAGTCAGAAATCTGCACTTTTGACACAAGTTGAATCGGAGGCTCATCAGGGCTGTGCCACTGACTCCACACTTCTCTCTAGTGTTGTGGTTAACAAATTTGCCTGACAAGCAAAAGATCCTCAGTTTGATCCCAGGAGAGAAACAAATCCCTTTAGAGATGTGTCGGGAAGAAAATGAAAATCTTCCAAATCAAACATGGGGAGCAGCCTGCTCTGGGAGCAAAGTAGCTTTTATGTTGGGAAAAATAAGCTTGTTACTAATTGTATTTTTGGTTGAAACACAACACTGAGTCTACATGGGAGTAGCTAGCTGAGATAGAAAAAAAGTGTAAGTAACTTTATTCTTCTTAACTGCATGGATGTGTTTTTAGTGGATTTCTTTTAAAGACACAGAGCAGGAGGGGACGACTTCAAAAACAAAAAAAGAAGAAGGCAAATAAAAGTAGAACTGAACACTAGAAAAGGAGGCCACCTACCTTTTCTTACCATCTCTTTTATGGCTCTTTTGCAGGGCAGAGCGCCGACGCTGATGCTGGCTCTGCAGCTCCGACACACGAGCCTGGTGCTCCTTGATCAGCTCGCTGGTCTTGCGGTGGTGTTTCCGAACCAGCTCCTTCATCTCCTTGTACTGCTTTCTCTGCTCCCGAACGAAGCCCTTCTGTTGCTTCAGCTCCTCCACTGTCTGAGCCTCCAGTTCTAAATACAAGAGAAAGGTCAAGGGAAAAGATTTCTAATGAAAACATTACAAACTACTGCACAACAAACTTTTATATGTTTACTATACTGTTTCCCATCGCCAAGGAAGGCCATAATATTAAAGTGCTGTTACTCTGCAAAAGCAACCATAAATAATTAATCCTTGAACAAAGAAATATGACCTTAATATGGACAACACAGGGATTTATTATCTTGCAAATCAAGTCAAAAGGTCTAATAAATACTTAATTTTGATAAGAAGTGATTTCAAATAAAGATGGGAACAGAGATCAGTAAAATCACTACAGATCTAGCAATCAGAAGCTCACCCGTAAGAACACTCTGGATGATGTCTTCAGTCTTCACTGATGGTTTCAATGAGCCTGTTCAGAATTCACAGGATCAGTGAAAGTGGAAGTAAAGTCAGTAAACTGGGTATAAACAGCGATTTCTATATTAATCTAATGCATTGTTATATATATTAAATCAAGTCAGACAGTAAGAAGATTATATCAAAGATTTACTTATTCAAATAATTAGTTAGAAAGGAAAATATGCTCGGTATAAATTAAAGATTAAAAAATATAAATAAAAAGTATAAATTAAAGGTATAAACTAAATGTACATTAATCAAATACATTTAGTTTGACCAGATTCCATTAAATTTAAGATTGTTCGTATATACCACAATGATATGAAAAATGTCAGCCTTTCAGGCATGAATATCTTTTTGACTGTGGACGTGTAGCGATGATGATTATAATGAAGGCGGGTACGCTGTTTTGGTACCTGCAGGCTGAGGCTGGTGGCTGACCAGTGACTGAGGTTTGGGGGGAGTGGGTGTGTGGCTCAGTCCGTTCTCAGCGGGCGTTATCCTCTGATCCTTTGATTCTGAGGGGGCATCACTTAATGTCTCCACCTGTGCATCATATGAAACATTCAGGATTAAGCAAATGCAAAGTAAAACTACTGCAGAACGACTTAAATCCCAAATATCATTTAAATCAGGCATGTTTCCAAACTTCTTCATATGAAGTACAATATAAAAAAGAAGAAAACAAAAAAGATAAACCAGTGTGCCGGATGCTTGAGTCTAACAGTAGGAGTAATTCCTTCCTTTGCACCTGTTTTCAGAACTCACTTGTTGGACCTGTTGTGTCGTGCAGCTTAGTTTGTAGACATAGCTTTGGTAACCCACTCTCAGCATGGTTTCCTGAGGAGCAGCAGATCTTAATTTCCCGTCGGCCTGCCTGAATGTCGGCCTATACGCTCTTATCTCTGAAAGGTTAATGCAATTTTAAATGATCTAGCTTTTTTGTCATGCTAACCAAATGTTTCCCTTTTTGTCTCCCCTCTGCTCTCTACACTTATCTCCCCACGCTGTGCTCCGCGCTCCATGCTCTGCCTCTTTCGGTCACTGTTTCCATGGTCACAGCATGATACAGCTCTCTGTTGGCCATTCTCGTGGGTAATCGTATCAGCTGGCAGAACAGATCAAAGAAGCCCTTCAGGAACAACCCTGCTCTCCGGTTCACTTTTCCTAATAACCCCAGATAACTCTGTCCTGCCTTGTCTGTCATCCTAAATTTATCCTCACTCCAGTCTCAGAAATCATCTCTCCTCAGTAATTAAGTCTGTGTCTGTTACCTGATACTGGCACCTACATTACTCGTGCTCGTCTCCATTGAGTAAATTCAAACAGTTCCCTACTTGCAAATTAACAACTTCAGTAAAACCCTGTTTCCTCCCTTTGCTGCACTGTTGATGACCCTGTTAGCGTGAGTTGTCTGTGATCTAATATTTTCTTGGTTGTCACTTTGAAACAAAGCAAAAAAAAGAAAAATCACATTTTCTGAAGCAGCAGAATTCTGAGCTTCTTGCCATTTAAGTTGTTTTCAAACTGGAGCCTGTACTAAAATTTAAGCTCACTGCCGACTCTAGTTTAACTGTGTGATTGCCTATACTGCGTGTATATACTGTGCATCGTTGGTCACTACGTGCTTTAATGTGTGAAGTAGATTGTACTGTTATTGCCTGGGGCCGGGTTAAAGTGAGAAATACCATCTTTGTAAACAAAGTTTATTTGCAATTTTGCAAAAAAAAAGAAACAAAAACATGTTAAACCTGCAATGTTTTAAACAGTAGTCTTGGTCTTTGGTGATTCTTTTGTATGAAACCATTGTCAGGGCTGTGTAAGTCTGCACTTCAATCACATCTCATGACACAGTCAAGGAAGGAAAGTACACTAACATTTACATTTTGGTTAAGTGTTCCTGGTTAGGAGCGAAAGATAAAACTTTACAGCATACAAAGTACAATCTTAATAGACTGATAATACGATAAAATAATAACATTAACACAGCTAAGGTGAGTGTAGATAGGCTTTATAGTAGGAGACTTACAATTAAGACACTAGTTAGAGGTCAGGTACACTGCAAAGCGATCGCAGCTCCCTAGTACTACAGGCCCTTCGCCCCTCAGTCTACTCAGCATAGCCTCATGACACAGTCTCACACATCAGGACTTTCCATTCATGTGGAATTGTGGGTTTGTGGGTGACTTCATAACTTAAAATAGACTGTGATGGTGTAAAGAGGCAAAATGACAAAAACGGTGTCTCTGTCCAACTACCTAAGGACCTGACTGTTAACTCCACCGACTTCTGAGCATCTCTTTAAACAACCTCTGTATTTATGTAAGCTTAAAAGCTTCTCCCACCACTATTTATCTATCACAGGTTTTATCTGTATTTCAATTTTGAAATGATTTTCATCAGCACTGTAGGAAGCATTCCAGTGCTTTACTGTTGCTCTTTTACTTGAGTCACAATACATCACAAAATCATTCAAAACACTGTAAACAACAGTTAAACACACAGACCTGCATTTAAGATATTATTTAGGTAAAACTATATAGATACTGTTAGGATTTCATGTACTTTAAGGCTGGCCTTTTTCTTAAAAACATCAGGCATAAAATAAAGCGTCCCCTGAGAATCAGTGGTAATATACGCAGGGGTGATTTGTGATATCTAGCAGATCGATGTCATACTAGACTTGATGCTGCTGCAATGACGCCACAGCTGTGGTTGGAAATACAGTCTCTCATGGGTGACCAAGAAACAAAAACTGTTCCAAACAAAGTCTGCTGACAGTATCTGTGTGAACTTGTGGTGCTGTGCTTAATAATCCATCATTTTATTCACTAGTGCTATTAGATGGCTGTGGGTTTCAAAGCACTTGCGATGGTATTAAAAAGCCTTTTACGCTTTTCTCTTTCTAAATAGTTTCTGCTGTCTTTATCTTCTCACCTTCCCCATGATATATTTTGACTTCTTAACCAGATTGTTCCTCATAACGAGGAGAGTGCCCATCTGGATGAGGGACCGCTCATCTCATCAGCTACTGATTATTGGCCTCAAAGCTTTTTACGCATGAACACAAAGAGTACAGAGGAGAGACAGATCTTGGATGACCTGTGATGCAGAGAGAACTACAAACACACACACACACCTCTTTGTCACCCTCCTCCTCCCCTCCCTCTTCCAAGGTGAGAGCAGCCAGCTGATTGGCTCTTTGCTCCATCAGGTTGACATAGCGGATTGGATTGGACAAGGCTTCAATGACGTCTGAGGACAGGGAAGAAAAGAGTGATGATGAAAAAACCACATTTATTTTTCTGTTTTTCTTCTTTTCTTGCGATCACCTGACTTACCTGCAAATGTATCTGGGACATAGTCCTTTACTTCAACATACACAAACAGAGCAGGTAACGTCAGGGACTGGTTCTTCTCATTCCTCAGACTGATGTAGTGATAGCCTGCAAGGTTTGAGTTAGATTTTAACTCTATCATTCCCGAAACAACAGTTTTACATCAAAGCAAAGAACAGCTGGACCGATACTGGATTTTTAAGACTGATACAGGTACCTGGTAATGAAACAATATTTTTTCATTTCTTTCACAGACATGAAATATGCACAGTTTTCCCTAAAACTGTTACATGTAATTATTTATAAGTCCCTACTGAGACAATAATGGCAATGCAGTTTAAATAAATCTTGTTCTATTGTCACAACAAGTCGTGCATTACTTGCTCCAAACAAAGTGCCAACGTGGAAGTTGTAGAGTGGCCTTTGGTCGAGCAACTATGCAATATCAACAGTCATAACATGGTTGGTTCTTTTTAAATTTGCATTTATCAGCTGTTCTAAAATCAGATACTGATATATCAGTCAACAGCTGATATCGGCATACCAACAAATGGGGGCAGAAATATCGATCAGGCTCTAGAGCAAAGCAAAGCTTATGCAAATGTTTCATGATTTATCAAACTGTATTGGTCAAAGGAGCTTGGTTAAAGGAGGAGAAGAAGAGC